CAAACGGATAAAATAAATGCATCGACTTGACCTCGGACATTGATGTCATTTCAAGTATGTATTTTTACATAATAAATCAGCACGATCTTTCGTGCAGACACATGCATTTACATAATAAATTGCATGACAAGTATCACGGAAAACATAACTCAATCAAAACATTGACATTTGGACTTAATCATAACTTCCAACACAATGATAAGTGTTACCAGTAAAAATGACCAAAAAAATCCTTAAAATGGGATACAAATAGATTACATTAACACAACAAGAAAAGGTTAAAAGCTAAAAAGGGCAAAAAAAAAAAAATCTTACAGATTTCACTCTAAAATTTGCGTAGGGTTGACACTCTTGAAAATTTTTTCATTCTCTCCAATTGAAGTGCCTTTTCGATCAAAATCTCACCAGAAAACTTCTTCTTTCTTTCTTCAAATAGAAAGCTCACCCAAAAACCCATCAAAATTCCGGGAAAAAACTTTACGTGACGTAAAAGGTGACGTGCCGAGCATAATGAAAAAAAGAATTGTGTTCTCCCCTCCTAAAGTCGAGCAAATTTATGTATATTAAAATTTAGAGTTCAGTTCCTCTATAAGTAACAATGAAAGCATAAACATTTAGTCGAAAGGACAAAAGAGGAGGATATAACCGCAACAACCATGCTACATATAGATTATGGGTTATACTCTTTCATATGATTAGATCTACACCATTGATTTTGACAATAACCGCCACTTCACTGTCCAAATTTCTTCCATATAAGGGGATATCAAAGAAATTATCAACCAAAATATACATCTAACATTATTCATAACCACAATATCTTCCTAGTAGACCCGCATCCCCAAATATAGAGTTTTGTTTTTATTGTATTGCTCAAATATTACGTCTCTGAAGAAGGAAATAAATACAGTCCATAATCTCAAGTTTGACTAAGATTACTTACGAGTAAATTTATTGATAAATAACTAAGTTTTAATATTATTGATAAAAAGTAAAAAATAAGTTACCTATATTCATTAAATTTTATTTTGTGGCAGAATTAATAAAAATGAGGAAATACAAATTAATATGAAAAAAATATTAAAAATGTCGAAAAATAAGGAAGCCTTATGTTAAGGAAAATATTAAAATTGCATAATTTGTACGGGACTTTCATATGAGTTAAAATGGAACGCTACGTTAAGAAATTTGATGATTTCGCATTGCAACTTTAAATCACTTGAAAGTTGCATGGACAAATAAATTGACGTTTTTTGTCACATAGGATCCAAATTTATGGACTTTAAAAAGTCGTGTACCTAGAATCACGCTATCTGAAAGTTTAGAGAGATCAACGCTAATTTTACAAAAAAAAATAATAATAAGGAAAAAAGAAAAAATAAAGATTTGGAATGATGTATTGTGTTGCATTCTTCCTTGGTCAGTATGAGGGTCTAGATATCCGTTGTTGATGCATGTGAGTCTTTTTTAATTTGAGACATGGTGCGACATCGAGGGACAAGCACACCCCAAAGCTAGAATATGGACAAACAATGCTAGCAACATATCTAAGCAAGTCACAATTGACAGGCATTGCAACCAAGCTTCGGATTCACCCTGCAATGGTCCACCCGAAGCTCCACTACAACAAAAATAGTATTTTGCAACGTTAAAAAAACGTTGCCGTATACCTTTTACAACATTTGGACATATGTTGTAAAGCTCAATGATGTCGTACAGTAGAAGAATAATAACCTTTTGCAGCGTTTTTGCAACGTTGCTAATAACTACTTTTTGCAGCGTTTTTTGGACATAGATAGATTGTCTTAGGATTCATCTCTTTTTTGGAATAGATGGTTTTGGGTTCAATCTCTTTTGTGACTATTATATTGTCAATTTCTTCATGTGGCGCCGAGCATATCTGATGCTTTTTGTGGACAGGCTCTTGGATATTGAAATTTTATCATGTTTAGACAATTTGTATACCTCGAAACTTAACAACAACAAAATCATCTTAATAGCCCGATTTCCTAAGAACTACTTTTCTCAGCTACTATTCATTACTCCCTTAACAACCCTTTAATACCTTGTTTTGGAATCAATCTCTTTTGTGTCTAATACATTGTCAGTTTCTTTATGTGGCATAGAGCATATCTAATGTTTTTTTGTGGACAGACTCTTGATGTTGAAAATTTAAAGGCAATTTGTATAGCCCAAAACTTCACAACAACAAAATAATCCTAATAGCCCGATTACCAAAGAACTATTGTTCTCATCTACTATTCACTAGTCCCTTAACAACACCTAAATGCCTTCTCCCACAACATCTTCAAGACCCTAAATCTATATATATTCAGACCCTTGTAATCTAATATGTTTCCCTACTTTTCAACTACAAAATCCAGCATTGACTAGATAGCCCCGCCATCTACTATGGACAAGTATTTTGACACATACTTGTCCAAAATAATACCCACAAATGGTATTTGCCCTGATGGATCAAGAAACAACTCTATGAACACATCCATCGCATTAGCATTCTCTTATTCACGATAATAATTCTGAAACCACCATTGTTTGTAAAATAGGTAAGATCATCCAAAGTACAATAACACTTTGATCATCACTCAATCAAATAACTAAAATATTTACAAACTATCTCATAATTACAGCACGTAAAAGTGAATATCAACTAAGAGTATCAACAAAATTTACTGCACGAAAACATTAAGATTGAAGTTTAATTAATTACCATCAGGAAGAGAGATAGGAAAATAAGTCCAAAGCGTAGGCCATGATGAAATTTTTTAACAAAATCCACAACTTCCTCGGTAACTCCCACTGCACCATCCTCCTCCAAATCATTGTCATCATTACTATCCTTTTTTTTTTCTCTCGAATACTGCAACAAATTGGAAGTGAATTTCGAGGAGAGTAAAGAGAGTCCCAATTTCAAAGTACCCTGAATTTTCGCCAAGTCATTCTTTATTCCGGAAATCATATCCAAGTTGGGCGGCAGTGGCGAAAGAGGTAGTTCCTCCAAGTCATTCCTGACACCCGAAATCATGTTCGAGTCGGGGGCCGGTGGAGGTGCAAGAAAGGCAATGACGTAGCGAAAGAGGGTGGAAAGGTCTTCCTTAACGCCGGCGGAGGGAGTTGTGGGGGAAGAGGGTTGGGGTAAAGGATTATCATTGAAAATTGAGGAAAACCAAGATGACATTTTTTATTTTTATTGAAGCTCTCACGAAGTGCGCTCCGTCGATGGTCATATGCTAAAGGAAGACAGGGAATTTTTCCATTTGGGGAGGGGGGGAATGGCGAGAGAATGTAGGGTTTAAATTAATTTGGATTTCTTCAATTTAAGCCCATATATAACTTAATTTCTTTAGTTTTTAATAATCGTTCTGAATTCAAAAGATTTGCAACGTTTAAAAAAACGTTGCAAAAAGGTAAACTTTTCGCAACAGTTAATAAACGTTGCAAAAAGTGACATTAGCAACATTCATAAAAGTGTTGTCAAAACTCAATTACATTAACTAATTGCAACATTCACTTACTAAAATGTTGCCAAAAGATCCTTTTAACAACATTTATCAACAAATGTTGTCTTTTAAGTGTTGCAAATGATCATTTTTGGTGTAGTGTTCTCAATTCATAGACAAACAAACTTAGGTCGCGTTCTATTTAATATATCGTGTTATTTAGATGAATTTACAAATTTATTCACACTTCAATTTTTGAAGAGTTTTGCAATATAAATTACGAATATAATAAAAGTATAATGTAGTCAATGATTAATTATTTTTAAGAATCAAACAACTTGTATAAGATTCAACAGATGAGATCTTTCAAGAAGATGTAAGAGTATAAATGCCCATTTGACATGATTTTTTTAAAAAATTTGAAGTTATTTATGAAATTAAGAAGTTTTTTTGAACATTTTTGAATAATTTTTTTAAAAATAATTTATTTATTTAGAAGACCTTCCAGATGAAACTAATTTAAGAAAATTTTTTTGAAGAAATTTCTCTCCAAAAAATAAGAGAAGTCATGTCAAGCGAGCATTAAGTTTGTAATATTACTTGGAAAATAGACATAACTACACGGATTTAAAGATACAATTTCAAGTTTGACAAACTTGATATCTTTTTTAATAAAAAATCAAGTCATAAATGGGTTATATATATTTATGAAAATGAATGATATTTAAAAAGATTCTTCCCTAAACCAAGGAATTGGTTACATATTCATTCCAAAAATTATATGATATTAATTAAATGGATAATTAAATATATTGGATCAATTAAGTAGGTAATTAAATATATTAAGATCATAATATCATACAATTTATGGTCACGATTACGTACTAGCCGCAATCACAGAACATCCGTCACAAATCATAAATTTTATAAATCACAACTTATTTATCGACCACAAATTATTAAATTAATTGATACAACTTTGTTTTTGGTCACAAATTATCATATTAATTGGTTACAACTTATTTAACAGTACAAAATTATCAAATTAATTGGTCACAACTTATTTATTGATCACGAAAACACAAATTGTAGGTTATAATTAAAAATTTAGTCACAAATCACATATTTTTAGGTCACATTATTTATTACAACAATTTATTCATTTTATTGATCACAATTATTTAATAGTTAGTCTCAATCGCCATTTCATCCGACCCATTCCATCCTACCACCACCAGTACAATAGATAATCACACCATCACCATCACCACCATCACCACTTCCAAATGCACCATACACAGATCACCACCGCCTCCAAACGCACCACACACAGATCACCACTACAACCCATCACCACCACCTCCAACAAACCACCACCGCCACCAACAACCACTGCTACTTTACCACCACAGCAACCACACCATCACGCATAGGAGTGGGTGCGATTTGATTCGATCTCGTTCTAAAGGAACAGAATCGAACCAAGTACTAGTGGAAATTTTAGAAATGGAATCACTGGTTCCATATCTAAATATAGAATCGAACCAACCGGTTCTATTTCGGTCTCATCCCAGTCTTTATATGAAAAATTTTAAAAATAAAGTATGAAACTACTTGTCAAAAGACTGTGTTTGAATATCGAAAATATGAGTGATTGAAGTTAAAGCAGCTACTTTCGAAGTAATGAAAAGAAAAGCAACAACTGAAATGAGAGAGTCAGAGTTGAAAAGAAGATTTCTCACTTCTTTCATCATCAAAACTGTGCATGAGACTTTAATAATCTTCAAGGAGAAGATATTGATTGATCATTTTGAAAATAATGAGATATTTGAGTTCTCACAAAAAATTAAATTAAAAACAAACTTTTTCCCATATTGAAGTTGAAGCAGCTACTTTCGAAGTAATGGAAAGAAAAGTAAAAACTGAAATGAGAGAGTCAGAGTTGAAAAGAAGATTCTTCACTTCTTTCATCATCAAAACCATACATGAGACTTTAATAATCTTCAAGGGGAAGATATTGATTGATCATTTTGAAAACAATGAGAAATTTGAGTTCTCTGAAAAAATTAAATTAAAAACAAACTTTTTCCCTATTGGGTTACATTTAAACTATGAATTTTTGTAAAATATTTATAAAATTATTTATATTTAAATGTTGATTACCCATTATATTTTGTTGTAAAAGAAAGAAGAAGAAGCATATGGAAAGTGAAAAAAAGAAGTTCCGGAGAATCGAATTCTTCATTAGTTCTTAAGACAGTACCAAGAATCTGACCAAAATTGATCAGTTCTTGATGCATGGTTTTGAAATTGATCCATTTAATAAAGGAACCAAAATCGAACCGATCAGTTCTATTCGATTCCGATCCGATTTTACCCTTTCTAGGAAAAAATGGTCACCATTCACACATAGATCAATGTCATTTTCATACACAAATCTGCACACATACACATTCACCCAATAATTTTCCATTGTCGCCACGCGGCGGTTGTAGTTGATTTGGATCCGATTCTTTGATCCTCTATTCTACTGTGCATCGGTTCTCTGATCCTATGCACCCATTGTTGGAAAAAACTGGATAAGTGGCTGACTTTGACACTAATTTTGAGCGAGACCCACTTGACTATTTTGAAAGATGAAAGTTGATTTGTGTTCTCTTCCGTGAGTACATCGAAATCATATACTTGTCAAAAATGATGCTCGGGTGAATGAGAAATTGAAGCTCAAAGTATGTCATGTGAAAGGAGTTTGTTGGTGGGAATATAAATTTTTTAAGCTTTATCCCACATAGGAAGTGGATGAAAGTTAAAACTACTTTATAAAGGATTGCACTTTAGAATGGTGTAATCATGTGTAGCATAGAGGCTCTCTCCACGTGCGCGCGCAGGGGGGTTGCAAATCTTGGACCGAAATTGGCGTCGGACCTTGAACTTGTGAGCGAGCGCGACCTGCGTATACGAATGTCGGACCAAAAGGAGCAAAATTGGCCCCTTAGGAGTGTCCACGTTTTGCTACATTTTTTAATTTTTTCAATAGACTTTTGATTTTCCAAAACTGTTGAAACTCCAAAACTCCTGTTGTAATTGCTATGAAATGAATGAGCAGGTTACAAGATCCTAAGCCTATATATATCTTGTTTTTCCAGTTTTCAGTACACGAAAAATTCATCTGCATATTCATCTGGTCACAGTTGGAGTCTGCTCTCGTTTTTACTTTCTGTTTCTTTGTCTTGTTTGGTGATATTGTTCGGGCACTGGTTCGCCGGAGTACAATCTGTGGTGCTCAGATTATACTGTTTCGCCGTTGTATCCTGGGAAACGGACGCTCTGTTAAACCTCAAGCACAGACGGTGAGGGAGCGAATCTATTTTAAGGAAACTGTGTGGAACACAGGCCTCAGGTTAAAAGTTTCCTGTCATTTAACTTCTGCGATTATTTGTTTGTCACTCGTTTATGCAAATTTGCGTTTGTAGTTCTGCTTAAATCAACTGTTACACTTTACTGCAATTTAACATATTTTCTAATCTGCTACTGTGTTAAATCTGTTGTGTATATTTGAATCCATTGTATTCAAAGTTATTGAATCTGCTACTGCGAATCCGGTATCCAATATTGAAACAATTTTCCTACAAGCTTAAAACAGATTCGTTGTTTCATTTGATTAATATTAGTTTATTGGAAACTAATATTTTTTGTTTCATTTTCAGAAATGGCAACCGAACAAACTAACATGGATGTAACCCAAGCTATGGCTACTGGAAATCAGGCTGCGGGCTCTAGTTCTGTTGGGGCTCAGACTGTGGCTAGATTGCCAAGTCATGTTGTGAGCCAACATGTGGCTACTGTTCCGGTTAATCATAATGAAAAATCGGAAAAATTCAATGGCTTGAATTTCAAGAGGTGGCAGCAGAAAATGTTATTTTATCTGACCACCTTGAATCTTGCGAGGTTCTTGACTGAAACTGCTCCAAAACTCAATGAGGGTGAGGGAGATGTTCAAGCGATCAGTGCACTTGATGCTTGGAACCATTCGGATTTCCTATGCCGAAACTATATTATGAACAGCTTAGCAGACGCGCTATACAACGTGTATAGCACTATGAAAACTGCTAAGGAGTTGTGGGAGTCTTTGGACCGAAAATATAAAACTGAAGATGTCGGGGCTAAAAAGTTCATTGTCGGCAAATTCTTAGATTATAAAATGGTGGACTCCAAAACTATAATCAGTCAAGTGCAGGAACTCCAAGTAATTCTTCACGAAATTCATGCCGAAGGGATGGTGTTGAGTGAAACTTTCCAAGTGGCTGCAATTATTGAAAAATTGCCCCCTGCATGGAAAGATTTCAAGAATTACCTAAAGCACAAACGAAAGGAAATGAACGTCGAAGAACTAATTGTTAGACTTCGAATTGAAGAAGACAACAAGAGTTCCGAGAAGAAGTTGTTCAATCCTAGTGTTGCTAAAGCCAACGTTGTGGAGCATGGTCAAAGCAGTAAGGCCTACAAAAATAAGGCTGGGTCATCCGGTGGTAAAGGGACCAAACTAGGACCTAAAGGTGGAATTTCTAAAAGGAAGTTTCAAGGAAAATGCTTCAATTGTGACAAGGTGGGTCACAAGTCTTCGGAGTGCAGATTGCCAAAGAAGAAGAAAGAAGCAAATGTAGTTGACTACATGGCGCATGATGTGGCGGAGATGAATCTAGCAGCTGTCATTTCTGAAGTGAACATGGTGGGCTCTAACCCAAAAGAATGGTAGATTGACACCGGAGCTACGAGGCATGTGTGTTCTGATAAAGAACTATTTGCTGCTTTCGAAGCAATTGAAAATGGAGAAAAGTTGTTCATGGGAAATTCAGCAACTTCTGAAATCAAGGGACAAGGCAAGGTGGTTCTGAAGATGACTTCGGGGAAAGAGCTGACTCTTAACAATGTGCTGTATGTGCCGGAAATTCGCAAGAACCTTGTGTCCGGGTCGCTTTTGAATAAGCATGGTTTTCGTATTGTATTTGAGTCGGACAAAGTCATTTTGTCAAAAAGTGGAATGTTTGTCGGAAAAGGCTATGTTTCCGATGGTATGTTTAAACTTAATGTAATGGTTGTTAAACCAAAAATGAATAAAGTGAACTCTTCCGCTTACTTGCTTGAGTCTTCCAATATGTGGCATGGTAGACTAGGACATGTTAACTATGATTCTTTACGTAGACTAGTTAACTTGAATTGCATACCCGCGTTCCATATTGATTCAAAACATAAGTGTGAAACTTGTGTTGAGGCAAAGTTGACAAGGTCATCATTTAAATCAATTGAACGGAATACAGAACCACTTGATTTAATTCACAGTGATATATGTGATTTAAAATTTGTACAAACAAGAGGTGGCAACAAGTATTTCATTACTTTTGTCGACGATAGTACAAAATATTGCTATGTCTACTTGCTAAAAAGTAAGGATGAAGCGATAGAGAAATTTATTCTTTACAAGAATGAAGTTGAGAACCAACTTAACAAGAAAATTAAGGTGATAAGAAGCGATCGAGGTGGTGAGTATGAAGCACCATTCGCTGAATTCTGTGCACAACACGGAATCATACATGAAACCACCGCACCTTATTCACCGCAACAAAATGGTGTTGCTGAAAGGAAAAATCGCACCTTAAAAGAAATGATGAATGCAATGTTGGTAAGTTCTGGGTTACCTCAGAACATGTGGGGGGAGGCTGTGTTATCAGCAAATTACCTTTTAAATAAGGTACCCCGAAAGAAAATGGAAAAGACCCCTTATGAGTTATGGAAAGGAAGAAGGTCTTCCTATAAATACTTACGAGTGTGGGGGTGTCTTGCTAAAGTGGCTGTCCCAACACCAAAGAAGGTGAAGATAGGCCCGAAAACTGTAGATTGTATCTTCATTGGATATGCTCAAAACAGTAGTGCTTATCGATTTCTTGTGTATGAATCTAAGATTTCAGATATACACAAAAACACGATAATGGAATCGAGAAATGCTTCGTTCTTTGAACATGTATTTCCATATAAGTCCAAAGAAGATGCAAACTCTTCTAAACGGACATATGAGACTATGACTGGAGATAGTCAGGACCAAGAATTAGAAGAGGAGGTTGAGGTTGAACCAAGACGTAGCAAAAGGGAAAGGACAGAAAAGTCTTATGGTCCAGATTTTCTGACCTATATGCTAGAAAGTGAACCTCAAAGCTATCAAGAAGCTGTGAACTCCTCAGAAGGACCCCAATGGAAAGAGGCCATTAAAAGTGAAATAGATTCCATTTTGCAAAATCATACATGGGAGCTAGTGGATCTTCCTCCAGGAAGTAAACCACTAGGCTACAAGTGGATTTTCAAACGGAAAATGAAAGCAGATGGATCTATTGAAAAGTATAAGGCTAGATTAGTAATAAAAGGTTATAGACAACGAGAAGGCCTTGATTACTTTGATACATATTCTCCAGTAACGAGAATAACATCTATTAGGATGATACTTGCGATTGCTGCTCTGCGAAATCTTGAAGTACATCAAATGGATGTTAAGACTGCCTTCCTGAATGGAGATTTAGATGAAGAAATCTATATGGAACAACCCGAGGGGTTTTCATCTCCAGGGCAAGAAAAGAAGGTTTGTAAATTGGTGAAGTCATTATATGGCCTGAAACAAGCACCGAAACAATGGCACGAAAAATTTGACAGTGTCATGATGGAAAGTGGATTTAAAATCAACGAGTGTGATAAATGTGTTTACGTTAAAGACACTGGAAATGGTTATGTCATTTTATGTCTTTACGTTGACGACATGCTTATTGTTGGTAGTGACAATAAGATGATTAAATCCACTAAAGATATGTTAAATTCAAGATTTGACATGAAGGATATGGGTTTAGCTGATGTTATACTTGGAATCAAAATTTCAAGAACATCAGATGGGCTTGCTCTAAGTCAGTCACATTATGTGGATAAAATTCTAGAGAAGTTCAGTAAGGATGATACTGAAATGGCTAGAACACCGATAGATACAAGTCAACATCTATCCAAAAACAAAGGTGAAAGTGTATCTCAAGTAGAATACTCGAGAGTTATTGGGAGTCTGATGTACTTGATGAGTTGTACAAGACCAGACATAGCCTACACAGTGAGTAAACTGAGTAGATATACGAGTAATCCAGGAGCTGATCACTGGAAAGGAATAGTAAGAGTACTAAGGTACTTGAGATACACTCGTAATTTTGGACTGCACTATACAAAATATCCAGCAGTCATTGAAGGATATACTGATGTTAATTGGATATCTGATATAAAAGACTCAAAGTCTACGAGTGGATTTGTGTTCACATTGGCAGGTGCAGCTATATCCTGGAAATCCTCTAAACAAACAGTGATAGCCAGATCCACTATGGAATCTGAGTTTATAGCTTTAGATAAAAGTGGTGAAGAGGCTGAGTGGTTGCGCAACTTCTTAGAGGATATTCCAAGATGGTCAAAACCTGTGCCAGCAATTTGCATATATTGTGATAGTCAATCAGCAATTGGAAGGGCACAGAGTAACATGTACAATGGTAAGTCTAGACATATACGTCGTAGACACAATACCATAAGACAACTGCTCTCAACTGGAGTTATCACTGTTGATTATGTAAAATCAAAGGATAACATTGCGGATCCGCTAACCAAAGGGTTAAATAGAGAGTTAGTTGAAAAATCATCGAGGGGAATGGGACTTAAGCCCTTGAATGAATAAGTTAATACAACGGAAAACCCAACCTAGTTGACTGGAGATCCCAAGATCTAGGTTCAAAGGGAAAACCTAATTGTAAAAACTTGATAGAACCACTGTGGGGGATATTACCTCATATCCATTCCTATGATATAACAGTGATGCCCGTAAAGATGAAGGATAAGCAATAGGCTTTTAATGATTCTTATGCATCGGAATTCGAGCCAAGTAATGCGGGTTACTTGTAATAAGAAATCACCTATGTGAGAGAGAAGTGGGGCCGCTTCTAAGGGAATTGTGTGGGGCAAAATTCTTGTGAACTCTCACAGAACCAGGCGTATGTTCATGGCCAAAACGAACATAATAATGAGAACTGAAATGTGTTAGGAAGAATCCTGTGTGGAGTATATCATCGTTTACATAAACGGCAGAACAGTTCAAGGACATCGCGTCTACTGGTCAGCTAGTAAAGTAAATATGCTTTTACAAGGGAAGGTTCAAAGGGTAACACCTACCTATCCTATGCAGGTTTCAACCGTTGAACTATATCACCTAGTCGTCATGTGTCACATTCATGTGTCGCTCCCAATTTTCATTCATGTGGGGGATTGTTGGAAAAACTGGAAAAGTGGGCTGACTTTGGCACCAATTTTGAGCGGGACCCGGTTGGCTATTTTGAAAGATGAAAGTTGATTTGTGTTCTCCTCCGTGAGTACATCGAAATCATATACTTACTTGTCAAAAATGATGCTCGGGTGAATGAGAAATTGAAGCTCAAAGTATGCCATGTGAAAGGAGTTTGTTGGTGGGAAAACTAAAAAGTTAAGCTTTGTCCCACATAGGAAGTGGAGGAAATTTAAAACCACTTTATAAAGGATTGCACTTTAGAATGGTGTAATCATGTGTAGCATAGAGGCTCTCTCCACGTGCGCGCGCAGGGGGGTGCAAATCTTGGACCGAAATTGGCTTCGGACCTTGAACTTGTGTGCGAGCGCGACCTGCGTACACGAATGTCGGACCAAAAGGAGCAAAATTAGCCCCTTAGGAGTGTCCACGTTTTGCTACATTTTTTAATTTTTTTTTTCAATAGACTTTTGGTTTTCCAAAACTGTTGAAACTCCAAAACTCCTGTTGTAATTGCTATGAATGAATGAGCAGGTTACAAGATCCTAAGCCTATATATATCTCGTTTTTCCAGTCTTCAGTACACGAAAATTCATCTGCATATTCATCTGGTCACAGTTGGAGTCTGCTTTCGTTTTTACTTTCTGTTCCTGTTTGGTTTGGTGATATTGTTCGGGCACTGGTTCAGTTCGCCGGAGTACAATCTGTGGTGCTCAGATTATACTGTTACGCCGTTGTATCCTGGGAAACGGACACTCTGTTAAACCTCAAGCACAGACGGTGAGGGAGCGAATCTGTTTTAAGGAAACTGTGTGGAACACAGGCCTCGGGTTAAAAGTTTGCTGTCATTTAACTTCTACGATTATTTATTAGTCACTCATTTATGCAAATTCGTTTTTGTAGTTCTGCTTAAATCAACTTTTAAACTTTACTGCAATTTAACATATATTGTCGAATCTACTACTATATTAAATCTGTTGTGTATATTTGAATCCATTGTATTCAAAGTTAGTGAATCTGCTATTGCGAATCTGGTATCGAAACAATTTTCCTACACCCATGGTAATTATGCTATCGCTGTCGTCCTCATCTCCATATGCGACCATATCCAAATCGCATTCTATTTCGGCTCTCGCAGCCTGCCTCCATCGTGCTGGTCCCATTGATCAACGCTTACTGGGATAAATGGTATTCTCTTCATCATGGAAATCTTTGTGCCTCCCATTAATAGAAGGTTGTAGACTAGATCGTCGCCTGGTGCTCCTCCATCTCCCCAAATACCTCTGTCTAATACCGTTACTAGATGGAGAAGCTTTGAAAAAGTTACCTTCAGAGATCTAGCGTGCCGCTTCATATGGCTGCCTTCGTCGAATTAGTGTGTATGTGCGGTTGTTGATAAACCAAATGACATTTGGGACAGTTGTTCAGTTACTGAGATGGGCTAGTGATAATGGGTATAAGAGTTGCCGGTGCGTTGCAGTGCCGATGAAATTGTTGCCACCGGGGCTACTGTTTTCGTCGAAGAAAAGTGACTGTTTTGCGACCTTGGTAAAAACTGAAATAAGGTTAGAATGGGTGGATTGTAAAGAGATTTTATTTTGTGCAAAGAGAGATTAACAAAATTTAAAAGTAGATTAATTTAATTTGATAATACTGTTATTAAAGTTAAAAAATTGAATTATGACCTGATTTTTGAATTTAGAAGTTAAAATTCATGTGCGGGTGTAATTTTCTCCAAGCCCAATTTTTTTTTTGTGTAGAATGGATTTTGAAATAGCAAATTGATAAAGAACGTGTAGTTAAAAAATATTTTTTTTTTTGAATTTGCGTGTAATATTATTTTATTGAAAAATTTGTGGTTGAAAAAAGAAAGAAAAATGTATTTTAGAAAAAATGAGGATCAAGCAAGGGCTCAATGTCAATGTTTTTATCACGATGTTTATAAAATATAATTTTGAAAACATTTTCATACATTTTGAAATTGTTTGATTTGGATTAAAATTTAATTAAAATTTCAAGTCAAAATTAACATTTAATTTTAATTATACATTTTATGGGATCCACAATTTTTTAACCACACATTTCATTATTTTTTATCAAAATCTATTGAAAATTTGATTTTAATCTTTGTCAAACACAGTTTAAGGTGGACAAACTTATTAAAAACTAGTCAATGTACAATTGTTTTTACGTACTTCGTATGAAAAGAGCAATCATCAAACGAAACATCAAATATAAATTAAGACAAAGATTGGTGTCCCATCGTCTAGATAAGGACATCCCTAGAGTAAGTAGTTTTTAGTCAATATTTATTCTAAAGGAATGCATTTTTTTATTAATTTTCATTTCCTTTATAGAAATGCTGATTGTACAGCATTTGTTTCGCACCATTTTTTACAGCCCTCTCACAAGGGTGGGGCCCGTGATTATTTTAATCGTGGGCCCCACCCCTTGCATGTGTGAGGGCTGTGAAACTTGTTGTGAAACTTGATGTTGCTGTAGCATCTCTCAATTTATGATCCATCAGTATTACACTGTGTTTACCTCACATAAAAAGTACGAAATTTCAAACAATGTCAGACTCAATAAATTAAATTAATTAAAAGTTCTTTAACTACTTCGATATATGGAATTATTAAATAAAGTGGGGAAGATACGAGTGATATC